TATATATATATATATATATATATATATATATATATACATACTGTATATTGACATACATTAAAATTTAGTTACTCCAAAACACTGTCAGTGACTGTCAACTGAACTGCCCACCATCTCTCATCTTGTTTGAGGATGTGTCATTGTTTCTCCCTAGTGTTGGTATGGCAGCAAAGCACTGTGGGGGATCAGTCCTGAAGTGCTGCGACACATGACACTACATGGGCGGCTTTCCAATATGTCACAGACCTACATCTCCCCCTCCACCCCGTCTTTTGGTGTATCTGTCTGCCTGTCTCTCACTCTGAAGGTCCCAGGCCTTTAGAAGAATCCAAATCATCATAATGATATTCATACAGGTCTCAGTATTTTGTCAAGATCAAGCATTCACTGATATTCACGATGTTAGAATGAATTGGGGAATATTGCTACAAACGGTTCGCGACAAGTGTTACTCAGTCGTCATTATGGAACAAAAATGTCAAAAATAACATATTTTAGGGACAATTTTCAGTAGTGTATAATTTTAAAATACTTATATTGATATAAATATGCATCATTTTCAAAATTTTATTTAGATTAGTATTAATGTTTGTTAAATATTTTCAGTATTTTGCATTATTATTTGTATTTTTTAAGGGTAATCCCACTACTTTTAATTTAAGTGGTTACTAATGCTTGAGGCACATGGTCAGTTGGTCAAATCCCAGTTAATTGACATCTTCAGCAGCTTCATATGGGCCTCGAAGAGATCCACGGATACAGCCGGTGAGAAATGAGCAATTCTCCAGCCAGGACTTTAAAAATTTCCACTCATCATATTTACACAATAAATAAATTCCAATCCGCCTGCGTTTTTAATTGCAAATCCAGCTCAGAGGGAGCTCTCCTTACGCTTAGGAGGTCCGTAGTCTACCTTATCCAGAAACCCTGGCGCAGTCAATTATGGTAATGAATTGTCAATAAATATAAAAATTTAATATGGCCTGCTTACAGTGAGTGGCAGCTAAGGACTTGCCTCCAAGACAAATTTGCTGTTGCTGCAGATATTAAGTGCACCTGAAAGGGGAGGAGAGGGCCACGGGGGTCCCGTGCAGGGTTCGGCCCGGTAGCCTGGGGGACCTCCAGGGGCCCCCGCTCACTCGTGCCTCTCCAACCTTCACCGCCCTCGTCTGGCGCGGGGCGCTGGGGTCCGAGGGTCTGGGCACCAGGGATGGAGAAACGTGCAGCTCTTCCCCGCTCGGTTTGATGCTGATTATCATTCAGACCTCGGCCCAGCGCACTGTCCCTGCTGTGCGGAGAGGAGCCTGGGAAGGAGAGAAAGGGAGAGAGGCGTATAAAACGAAGAGCTGCCAGAGCTGGTTACATGCTTACTTCAGATGGTGCTGAAAAACTCGAAAGGTGGTGCCAAGTGCCGTCTGGCTGATTGAACTTTTAAACTGAAAGGACTCTGATTCAAGAAATGGAATTTTCAATGAATAAGGAACAAGGCCTAAACTTTTCCTAAAACATTCCAAGCAACTCTTGTTGTTTCAAAGCAAATATGAGCACATCTTCTCGAAATAAACTTCGTATTTCTGTTCCAAAAGTTAATACGTAACTCAATAATTAGCTCAGATTGGTTTAAACAATGGCACGCGCTTGATCAACCAATGGAAGATGGGAAGAGTGTTCTTTCAGACCTCAAATTATTTTTGCAATCCTGCTCCTTGTACCTCTCTATACCTGAGATGTTTCAGACCTTCAGAGATCTGACATGTTGCTTGTGGTAATACCTTTATTGGTTGGTGTGAGAACTCTCTCGCCCTTTCTCTTCAGGTGGATTACGGCCTAATTGCCTCCCAAGCCGGTGCCACACTCAACAACCTCCTGAGTCACGCGCAGGAGCTGGTGAGCAAACTACGATCCCTCCAGCTGGACCAGAGGGAGTTTGTCTGCCTCAAGTTCCTGGTGCTGTTCAGCTTGGGTGAGTACAGAGAAAGGGGTGGAGGGGTGGAGAGTAGTGGGCTACGGCCTCTGTGCATTATCCAAATCTCACTTGCTTGCTTCCAAGGTTCTTGAGGGACCTTGAGATAAGCCACAAGACCGCATTCACTTCCCCCCTGTACGATAAGACCATCATTATGAATGCCACCGTCTCTCCTTTACCGGTGATGCCAGAATAGGTCGGTCAAAACTGTTATTCTCAGAAAATCGTGTAGCTCAAAGATCTCATTCTCTTTTCGTCAGTCTTCATACAGTACGTCACTAAATCAATATGCAATATGCATTTTTTTAAACAATAATATATTTTTTAAAATAATAATATATTTTCTGGGGAAAATTGCTGCAAAATATAATTTTTTAGTTGTGGTTTAAAGAGTGCAGTCAAGAACAGTTTCCAGATTTTCGGAATTTCCAAAATTCAATTCAAATTTCCAAAATTCAAAGTTTCTGATGTGCACAACAACCTGCCATGTTCTATTCACTGAGTGAATTACTCAGTCATATGACCTTTTTTGATCAATTTATGGTTCCATTTTTTTATGTGAATCTTGGTATTTCCATCTAGCACATTTTTTTTTGCGTAAATTTGCGTAAAATATGTGAATGAAAAAATAGCTAATAGGGGTGTGATCTCGTGGCACGAGATCTCGCGAGAACATGAGGATATCCTCGTGCAGACCTCTCACGAGAACATGATGATATCCTCATGCAGACCTTTCAGATATATTTGCATTACACTGGCTCGTTCACAAGTGGTGGGATGTAAGATATTTTATGTTA